TGCCCTTTTCGACGACTCTTTGTCATGTCCTATTAAAAATCCTTAAATTCGCAAAAAAAATGTGAGTCACTCATGGGGAAAAAACTATCCTATCTCTCAAGTAGGACCAAACTGCACACGGTGTGTAAATTTGATTAAAATCGGTTAAGTAGTTTAGGAGTCCATCGCGGACAAACAACGTGACACGTAATTTATATATATTAAGATTTATAATCAAATATGATAATATAATACAATATAAAAATTATGTTTGTTTGTTCGAATTTTATGCACTGCCATACCGTTCATCAGATTGCGCTAAAACTTTGTCAACTTATTTCTTGAACTTGTGCAAAGGTTATAGTCATAGTGCAATTAACATACTGTAGGTAGCGCGCGTATCGTACTGATAAATTTATTTGAAACTTATACATCATTCAATTTGATGATGAATGTTATTATCATTTGTAATTAAACATTGTAACTCTTCCAAATTTGAAACAATATTTGTGCAATTATTTATTGTGCGGCAGCAACGCGCTGGGACCACATAGTACGTGAGGGTAATATGGTCATCCGGTTAATGTGGCCAATTTCTTGTAATTCAAAAACTACAGCCTTGTTTGCATAGATAGCTTTGTGATACGTTAGCCCTTTATTGGTCAATCAAATATTAAAAGGTAAAAAGAGCGATGCTTCATCGACGCCATGTTGACAGTTGACATTACAATAGTAAATATTTTACGTGATTTTAGTATTGTGTAGTGTAATTAGTTTTTTTTTTAAGTACATTTTTCGAAGTGTTCCTAATTATTTCCAAGGCTTGTTTGCTAGTTTTTTTTAAATATATTAGTTGTAGTACACGACTTTGTGTTTTTGTCTCTGTCCTCCTCCTAGTTTTGGTTTTTTCTCAATATATTAGTTAGAGTATACGACTTTGTGTTTTTGTCTCTGTCGTTCTCCTACTTTTACCGTATTACCCTCACGTACCTTAGTATAATATTATATTTATAGGTCCCACGGCTGGGCATAGACCACGTTTTACTTTTGAGTGGACTTTGGAGTAATTAGTCTGTTGTGCCGCTGCAATGTATATTGGTGAAATTACGACGTGGTAGAGCCATGCTGCAGCTATATGAGTAGTATGGTTGTAGCATGAATGGGTCGGCTCGATCGGGGAAGAACCACGCTCTCACAGAATACTAGCGTAAAATAGCAGCTCAACGATGTTGTGTTTCGTATTGTGAGTGTAGAGAACCGGAGACCCATTTTACTGAAAAAGAAGTATTCCATCTTAGTCCTCACAGGTGGCAACGCATCTGCATTTTTATTCGTAATCGAGGATAGATGTAGTTGTCTATGGGCCACAGCAACCACTTACCATCAGGTGGACTGTGTGCTCGTTTGTCACACTTATCCTATAAAAAAATACATGTCCTCCCATGTTACCTCACAGTATTTTTTTTCAAAACGGAGCTCGTGGTAATTTAGCACTTCTAATAGCAATAATAAAAATTATTGGTGCTGACCGAGTTCGAACCCGGGTCATTCACGTACTGTGAAATATACAGATAACGCTTTAGCCCGTGAGCTATAACGATTCAAAGTATTATTGTTTTAATTATATTTTTTAGCAAAAAAGTAACTTTCAGTCAGAGTCAAAACTTTATTATTTCACATTTTATAAAGATTTGTTACAATCGTTACCCTTGCAATTGGCAGTTATAATAATTATACCCTTCAGGACGAGATGATAAATTCTGTTTTTAAATAACCACGTGATTATTAACTAGCTTTTTTTCTTTCTATTTGACATGTTACATATTTTTTTACTTACTACTAGTAGACATATGTCAATCATGAATGATTCATTCGTTTTAGCTGGTACTCTTTAAAGTATCGATGATTCATTCATCTGTTTTTGAATGTTCCGGTAAAACCAATCACAAAAAATTGACAGAACATTTTTAAATAGTGACTGAGTGAATTGTGAATGAGTCGAAAACCGACTGAATCCCGAACGATCTCAATGAATTGTTTTTAGTGTAGGGTACTGGAGCTCTAAATGACCCATTTGAATGATCGATCCGAATGTACCGCGTGACGTAATGTACATTAGTTTGTGCCAAATCGATTGAGGGAAACGGACATTGACCTTTCGGTCGTTTAACCAGTGGTTACAAACCTTCACCATATAGGCACATTTTATATGTAGTACTTTTTTATTTATAATGATTTTTTTATAATTTTTTTAATGATTGATGTAATATATATTTATTACCAATTATTAAAAAGTTACGTAAAAGATCGCTGTAGAAGAAAAATCATCTATTGTTATAAAGTACTTTATGAATTTAAAAACAAAAACCATTAATTTATAACACATATAAAGATTCGAGTGATAACGACACCGAATAAGTACGTACTTATTCAAAAGATGAAACCTTATTTTCAATATTATATAAGAACTTTATTTTTATTCGGTGCATGCGGACCGGCCCAAAAAAAAGTGACGCATCTCTGGCTGCCACTGTCACGTTTCTTTTAGAATGAACTGACGTAACGCGCGTTTAGTTTATTTTAAAGGGATGAATTTGCAAAAGCTCATTATGGTGATTATATTGCTTCAAATATTTTTTATATGAAACTGTTATTAAATGAATTGCTGCATTAATTACCATAAATTGAAGTATTAAATATAACACATTTTTCGCGATGTACCACCACAGACAATATTATTTAAGTAACAAAAAACAAAACATATGTGCTGACCTAGAAGTGTGAATAATATCAATATTTAAATATTGTTATCATATATAAATTGAGATTTTGACACCTTTTGACACTCGGCTCATATCTGTGGTCATCGTCCGTTTTTCTCAATCAATTTGGCACAAACTACAGAATGATTCGGTCACGAGAAATGAGTGATTGACACATTTCTAACTACTAGCGATCCACCCCAGATTCACAAGGATGATTTTTGGATCTTGATAACAGCACCACCTACCAGGTACAATTGTGAATCTAAACCATCCAGAGACCCACACAAATGCTGAAAAAAATTCATCAGAATCATTCGAGCCGTTTTCGAGTTTTAACGAGAATAACGAACATCAATTTATTTTTATATATACAGATCGTAAGTTCTGATTACTATGCCATTTGATTGTAAGGTGATGGAACCGTAGATGGTATAGTGCAGTGGATATAATACAAACTGACTCTTTAGTGGTTGTAAGCGACTGTTAATCATGAGGCGCTGGGTTGTGAGGAAACCAGTTATTGGGTTTTCCTGACAAAAAATTCTCTAAAGCAAGCAAAAGTTGTCGGTATTTCACCATCGTGCCTCTTTAGTAGGCTCGTAAAACCGTCGGTACTTCAGCTGATCTCTCTCCAGTCGTGTCTGGATGCCGTCTTATTAGACTACAAAGTGAGAGAATAGAGAGTGCACTTATGTTTGTGCACACACTCGTGCATTTTAAACCTGTTCTACGCAGATGGCTAGAGCCCGCTAAGACTGGCCGCCGTGGTCGAAATTCTGTCTGGACGACATTATTTTTATGATATCTCTTGTTTTTCAAGTCTTTAAGTAAATTGCCTGACAATAAAATCTGGACACATGACATTCTCTTTTCTCAGAGAGCTAAAGGGTAGTGCTTCAGTGCTTTTTGGCGGACTTCTAACTTTTTTCCTACACTTCACACACACACACACACTAAAATTGCAATTATCAATTTCCTTCAGCTGATCTTTCTCTACCTTTAGATATCTGAAGGTAGAGAAAGATCAGCTCAGGGTGAACCTGGGCTGCTCATTATTTGTACAATTAACGGTGTGTGCTTATTAAACTTGGACTCCAAGCTCGGCTCGTAAACATATCACAGTAAACACATCATTAATAAATTAGATAATTATTCAAAATTTAAGAACGACGCCCGTTCAAACATTCTTAACTTTTTTCGATTTATATAATATACACACACACTCGAAACCCTTCCTTTTTATAATGTTTTTTAAAGCATTGGGTGACAAACAGTCCATCTGATGGTAAGTGGATGCTGTGGCCCATAGACATCCACATTTATCCTCAATTAAGATTTAATATGCAAATGCGTTGTCGACCATGAGGACTAAGATGGAACGCCTCGATTCCAATGAAAAGGATCCCCGGTTCTCTACACTCAGCATACAAAACACAGCAGCATTACGCTGCTACTTTATGCTGGTATGCTTTGAGAGTGTGGTCTTGCCCCGGTCAAAGCGACCCATTCGTGCTATAACTATAATATAGCTGTAGCGTGGCTCTACCACGTAAAAAAATAACAGTTGTGTGATATATACTTATTTCTTAAATTTCAATCTGATAAGAAAGCTCTCTTTACTTGTTACAAATAAGATCGTTAACGAGATTTGAATAAGGATTGCGCAATTCTTTCTTCATCCAATGACTAGTCAAAATGCGCTACAATTGACCGATACATGTGCATGCAATGACCGAAACCAATCTCTACTGTTGCAATAGACCTTTATTACGCAATGAAAGGAATAATGATGGAGAGAGGAAGAGAGAAGGAGACAGAATGTACCTACTACACTAGATAAGTCCATGGGTCCCTGGTAAGTCATGGACAAAGTCGATGGATTCAGGTAATACCGTATTGTGACATTTTTAGGGGAAGCCTATGTTTAGCAGTGGACATGTGAAGGGTTGCAATGATCGTAATGATGAAGAAATAATAATAATAATAATAATAATAAGAATAATGCTGGTGACCTATTTGGAAGCCAGCCGGGACCTTTGCGAGACGGACTCAATTCTTTTTGGCGCCGCGCTGGCAGTCTGCCGTATCATAGGCGCCAAGGTTTCCACGGCTGGACGCGCTACTGGCCATAGTAGCGCTATCCCAGCATAGAGAAGAAGAATTGAGGAACGTATCGCAAAGGCTAGAGCTCTCATCGGCAGACTGATATGCTTCAGATCAGGCAATAACAGGCCAAGAATAGTGCGCACGGTCAGGATGGCGTTTGCTGGGACAAATGTCAGTTTGTCCCAGCCGGATATAACGCAAAAACTGACGGAGCGCATAGATGATCTGAAGCAGAGAATCGCTGCTTGGGGAAAGTGGATTCGGCGATATACCGAGAGGTCGACACGGTTCAACCAGAATCGTCTCTTCCAGAGTGATCAGAAGAGGCTCTATGAATCATTGGAGCGACCAATGGTAAGTGGAACGGGTCCAGCACCGAATCAGACCGACACTGTACCATTCTGGCGCAGCCTGTGGTCAGAGCCCGTAAACCACAGCGAGGGCCCTTGGACGGAAGTTGTGGCGAGTCAGTGTGCGGGTATTACGCCGATGGACCCCGTCATCATAACGCCGGATGACGTAGCTGAGGCGGTCCGTAGGGCCCCGAACTGGAAAAGTCCGGGGCTCGACGGGCTGCATCACTACTGGCTGAAGGGGTGCATGGTGTGTCACTCTGTGCTCGCCCGACAGTTTCAAGAGGCTCTCAACCAGAAGTCGCTCCCAAGTCTCTTCACTACTTTGATCACTCATTTGGTTCCTAAAGGTGAGGGTACCACAGACCCGAGCAAATACCGCCCCATCACGTGTCTACCGACCATATACAAGACACTAACATCCATTTTGAGCGCGAGAATCACTTTTCACCTGGACTCAAATCAGGTAATGTCGCGCGCTCAAAATGGATGTCGGGGCGGTGGTCGTGGAACCAAGGAACCACTCCTCATTGACGCGGTCATTGGCAAAGTGGTGAAACGCAACCGTCGGAACTTCTCCGCCGCCTGGATAGACTACAGAAACGCATTCGACTCGGTGCCCCATACATGGCTAAAGAGAGTCCTCGAGCTGTACAAGATAGACTGGACAGTTAGAGACTTCCTCGAGCAGTGTATGGGGCAGTGGAGTACGATCCTTTGTCATCTGGGCGAGCGGATGATGGCTGCGGAGAACCACATAAGGATAAGAAGGGGTATCTTCCAGGGCGATTGTCTGAGTCCAATCTGGTTCTGCCTCTCTCTGAACCCTCTCAGTACCTTACTGGAGGGCTCCGGGAGGGGATTTCAGCTACGGAAAGGAGGGACAAAAGTGACCCACCTTTTCTATATGGATGACCTCAAGTTATTCGCCTCCAGTCGCTCCCATCTTATGGAACTGCTAAACATCACTTGTGAATTTAGCAGTTCCATTGGAATGGAGCTGGGGACGGATAAGTGTGCGGTCCTCCATGTTGAAAGGGGAACGGTTGCTAACTCTGAGGGCATAGACTTGTCTATGCCCGTCAACTTAAGGACCCTTTCCGAGGCTGAAACATACCGATACCTGGGTATGTCACAGAACATTGGTATCGATGAGGCTGGTATAAAACAGTCAGTTTGCGACGTGTTTTATGCACGCTTGACCAAAGTGCTTAACAGCCTTTTGTCCGGTGTGAATAAGACACACGCATATAACGGTTGGGTCATGCCTGTCCTCATGTATACCTTTGGCATACTCAGGTGGACCCAGACTGAACTTAACGCCCTGGATAGAAAAGTCCGCACTACCATGACGTCCCATAGGATGCATCATCCGAGATCGTCGGCAATGAGGCTGTACTTGCCGCGGAAGCATGGTGGTCGTGGCTTCTTGAGCGCGCTCACCATGCATAATCGCGAAGTGTGCAGCCTCCGTGATTACTTCCTGGCGAGATCGGATGATCCATTCTATAAGGACGTAATTTCTTGTTATAAAGGACTTACCCCTCTATCCTTAGCCAACGAGCAATGGCAAGACCCGGCAGTGCAGAGCATTTCCGACCGGGAGACCGTATGGAAGGTGAAGGAGCTCCACGGGAGGTTCTACAAGGCTCTACATGAGCCTTTCGTAGACACAGTAGCCTCCCTCCACTGGCTACGCTTTGGTGATCTCTTCGGGGAAACCGAGGGTTTTGTCTGTGCAATACAGGATCAGGTTATTAAGACCAACAACTATCGGAGATACATCCTAAAGGATGGCACCGTCGACGTCTGTCGAGCTTGTCGCCATCCCGGTGAATCACTTAGGCATGTCATCTCCGGTTGTTCGGCGCTTTCTAACTCTGAGTACTTGCACAGGCACAACCTAGTAGCCAGAATTCTACACCAGGAGCTCGCTCTGAAATACGGTCTCGTGGACCGGAAATTGCCGTATTACAAGTACTTGCGGAAGCCGTGCTCGAAAATGACCGCGCCAGGCTCTACTGGGACCGGGCCATCATCACAGACAGGACTATTCTTGCGAATAAGCCTGATATTGTGCTGATGGACCGGGCACAGTCAAGGATATTTTTGGTCGACATTACCATTCCGTATGACGAGAACCTCGTGAAAGCCGAAACAGACAAGCAAACAAAATATCTGGACCTGGCTCACGAGGTGACCGACATGTGGGGCGGTCTGCCGACCGAAATTATTCCTGTAGTCGTCTCTGCGAATGGGCTAATCCCAGTCAGCCTCTCGGGTCATCTGAGGCGGCTGGGACTACGTGGCGGACCGCTCCAGGCTCAAATGCAGAAGGCGGTGCTCCTCGATACCGCCCGCATCGTCCGCCGGTTTCTTTCCCTTTCCCCCCTAACCCTCGGCCGTTTGGTCTCCCCTGCCGAGGGCCTCCATCTGGTTGGGCTTTTATGTATTTATGTACTTTTATATTTATTTTATGTTATTCATATTTATGTATATTTATCTTTTCATTTTCATTTATAATTATATATTTATAGAACCCAACCAGATGAGAAAACTATATAGATACCCCACAATAATAATAATGAATAATAATATAAATAATAAAGGCGTAGGGAAGTGACGACCCCATCGCCCGCTGACGTAACAGTTATGTGACAAAACTACTACGTCGGCGCAGTCAGTCAGCGCCCTGCCAAGAGGTGTGAGCGCCGTGCCTAGGCAAAATTGTGGGTGCAAAGGTCCGTTTGTGCATATGACCGAACCACGAAACGGTACCGGGCTTGGGCGTCTCCCGTTATTTGGCGGCCATAAATGTATGATGGTACAAAGAGGAACGCGCATAGGGCCGCTGTCTGGGAGTCGCCGGGGCGCGTCTGGAGCTGGCTCTGGACGCGGCAGCATGCGGGCCACAAGCCGAGCGCGAGGAGCTGTACGATCACCTAGCAGCCCTCCGCATCCATCATCCCCACCAGAAAGCTTGATGTCGGCTGGGTCTTCTCGGACTCAGCAAGCGGCACCCGCCGCTGGTGGAGCACGTCGCATGCGTTGGTCACAAATAATGAACGCAAACGCACTGCGGGCGTACTTTAGGGCAAAAGGGGAAGAAACCGGATGTTTGGCATATCGGGCTCGGATGCATCGCTTTTTTGCAGAGCTGGAGCCATCTCTATCCGTCACTGAGCAAAACCTGGCAGACCGAGTTCGGTACATCCTGCGCTCCAACATATTTGGTGACGCCGAACTCGAACGACTGCGACGTGAGGCTGTTCCCTCATCGGATGGAAATGCTACGGCTGGGAATACGGCGCCACTAATTGCGCAGCAAACTGCAAATGTGGACGCTGCCGTCAATATTCCATTTGTGGTGGATTCAGACGATGATGGAATAGTCCCCCACGAACTAGAGAAAATGAGGAGCATATTGGAAGAGTCGATGCTGGAAACGCGCAGCATGCCTCTCGAAAATCGACCGCGACTCCCCCGCACACCCCTTAGCAAGTGAAATCGGGCTATCGTGCGGGCTCTTAACCCAATGCTGGTGACCTATTTGGAAACCAGCCGGGACCTTTGCGAGACGGACTCAATTCTTTTTGGCGCCGCACTGGCAGTATGCCGTATTATTGGCGCCAAACTTCCCATGGCTGGACGTGCTACTCAACAAGGTAGTGCCATCCCAGCCTGGAGAAAAAGAATCGAGGACCGTATCGCAAAGGCAAGGGCCCTTATCGGCAGACTGACAAGCTTCAGGTCGGGTAATAATAGACTGAGAGTTGTGCGCACCGTTAGAATGGCGTTTGCTGGGACAAATATTAGTTTGTCTCAGCCGGATATCACGCAGAAACTAACGGAGCGCATAGATGACCTGAAGCAAAAAATCGCTGCTTGGGGGAAGCGGATTCGACGATTTAGCGAGAGGTCAAGGCGGTTCAACCAAAATCGTCTCTTCCAGAGTGATCAGAAGAGGCTCTATAAATCATTGGAGCGACCAGAGGTATGTGGAGCGGGCCCAGGACCGGATCAGGCTGACACTGTCGCATTTTGGCGTGGCCTGTGGTCAGAGCCCGTAAACCACAGCGAGGGCCCTTGGATGGAAGTTGTGGCGAGCCAGAGTGCAAGTGTTACGCCTATGGACCCCGTCATCATAACGCCTGAAGACGTGGCTGAGGCGGTCCGTAGGGCCCCGAACTGGAAAAGTCCGGGGCTCGACGGGCTGCATCATTATTGGCTGAAGGGGTTCGTAGTGTGTCACGCTGTGCTCGCCTGACAGTATCAAGAGGCTCTCGATCAGAAGTTGCTCTCGAGCCTCTTCACTACTGGGATCACTCACTTGGTTCCTAAAGTTCAGGATACCACAGACCCGAGCAAATACCGCCCCATCACGTGTCTACCCACTACATATAAGACACTGACATCCATTTTGAGCGCGAGAATCACTTTTCACCTGGAGCTAAATCAGGTGATGTCACGCGCTCAAAATGGATGTCAGGGCGGTGGTCGTGGAACCAAGGAACCACTCCTCATTGACGCGGTCATTGGCAAAGTGGTGAAACGCAACCGTCGGAACTTCTCCGCCGCCTGGATAGACTACAGAAAAGCATTCGACTCGGTGCCCCATGCAAGGCTAAAGAGGATCCTCGAGCTGTACAAGATTGACTGTACAGTTAGAGACTTCCTCGAGCAGTGTATGGGGCAGTGGAGTACGATCCTCTGTTATCAGGGTGAGCGGATGATGGCTGCGGAGAACCACATAAGGATAAGAAGGGGTATCTTCCAGGGCGATTGTCTGAGTCCAATCTGGTTCTGCCTCTCTCTGAACCCTCTCAGTACCTTACTGGAGGGCTCCGGGAGAGGATTTCAGCTACGGAAAGGAGGAACAAAAGTGACCCACCTTTTCTATATGGATGAACTCAAGTTATTCGCCTCCAGTCGCTCCCATCTTATGGAATTGATAAACATCACTTGTGAATTTAGCAATTCCATTGGAATGGAGCTGGGGACGGATATGTGTGCGGTCCTTTATGTTGAAAGGGGAAGGGTTGCTAACTCTGAGGGCATAGATTTATCTATGCCCGTCAACTTAAAGACCCTTTCCGAGGCTGAAACATACCGGTACCTGGGTATGTCACAGAACATCGGTATCGATGAGGCTGGTATGAAATAGTCAGTTTGCGACGTGTTTTATGCACGCTTGACCAAAGTGCTTAACAGCCTTTTGTCCGGTGTGAATAAGACACACGCATATAACGGTTGGGTCATGCCTGTCCTCATATATACCTTTGGCATACTCAGGTGGACTCAGACCGAACTTAACGCCCTGGATAGAAAAGTCCGCACTACAATGACGTCCCATAGGATGCATCATCCGAGATCGTCGGTAATGAGACTGTACTTGCCGCGAAAGCATGGTGGGCGTGGTTTTCTGTGCGCGCTCACCATGCATAATCGCGAAGTGTGCAGCCTCCGTGATTACTTCCTGGCGAGATCGGATGATCCATTCTATAATGACGTCATTTCTAGTGATAAAGGGCTTACCCCTCTATCCTTAGCCCACGAGCAATGGCAGGACCCAGCAGTGCTTAGCATTTCCGACCGGGAGACCGTATGGAAGGAGAAGGAGCTCCACGGGAGGTTCTACAAGGCTCTACATGAGCCTTTCGTAGACACAGTAGCCTCCCTCCACTGGCTACGCTTTGGTGATCTCTTCGGGGAAACCGAGGGTTTTGTCTGTGCAATACAGGATCAGGTTATTAAGACCAACAACTATCGGAGATACATCCTAAAGGATGGCACCGTCGACGTCTGTCGAGCTTGTCGCCATCCCGGTGAATCACTTAGGCATGTCATCTCCGGTTGTTCGGCGCTTTCTAACTCTGAGTACTTGCACAGGCACAACCTAGTAGCCAGAATTCTACACCAGGAGCTCGCTCTGAAATACGGTCTCGTGGACCGGAAATTGCCGTATTACAAGTACTTGCGGAAGCCGTGCTCGAAAATGACCGCGCCAGGCTCTACTGGGACCGGGCCATCATCACAGACAGGACTATTCTTGCGAATAAGCCTGATATTGTGCTGATGGACCGGGCACAGTCAAGGATATTTTTGGTCGACATTACCATTCCGTATGACGAGAACCTCGTGAAAGCCGAAACAGACAAGCAAACAAAATATCTGGACCTGGCTCACGAAGTGACCGACATGTGGGGTGGTCTGCCGACCGAAATTATTCCTGTAGTCGTCTCTGCAAACGGGCTAATCCCAGTCAGCCTCTCGGGTCATCTGAGGCGACTGGGACTACGTGGCGGACCGCTCCGGGCTCAAATGCAGAAGGTGGTGCTCCTCGATACCGCCCGCATCGTCCGCCGGTTTCTTTCCCTTTTCCTCCTAACCCTCGGCCGTTTGGTCTCCCCTGCCGTGGGCCTCCATCTGGTTGGGCTTTTATTTATTTAAGTATTTTTATATTTATTTTATGTTATTGATATATATGTATATTTATCTTTTCATTCTCATTTATAATTATATATTTATAGAACCCAACCAGATGAGAAAACTATATAGATACCCCACAATAATAATAATAATAATGTCCTCCAGACCCAATTTCGGTCACAGCAGCCAGTCTCAACGGAGACTAGCCATCGGCGCAGGACAGGATTATAGTGCCCAAGTGTATGCGCAAGCACAGGTGCACTCTCTATTCCCTCACTCTCATTATCCAATGGGACGGTAAACGGACATGATGGGAGAGAGATCATGTGCAAGATCAACGGCTTTACGTGCTTCGGAAAACGCGAGGCATGGTGTGCGACCCCGCCAACTTCCTGACTCCGGACAACTACTGAGAATTTCTTGGCGGAAAACTCAATAATTGATTTTTTTTGGTCCGACCCAGGATTCGAACCCGGGACCCTATTATCAGCAGTCGTACTACTACAACCACTAGACCAACGAGGTAGCCAGGAGTAATTATACTACTGCTGCGGCGTGTAAGAGTCAAAAAATCTATGCCCCTTTTTCACTTTTAACTCACAGCATTCTACTATTGGATGTGCCACATTGATTATAAGGAAAGAACACCATATTTTTTTAACAAAACTGAAGCAATAGATTCGCTTAAAGTCCACATAATGGCAAGTAGTGCTGCAGTCTATTCAAATATGAAATGTTACAGATTCATTGTCCCCTCTGAGAACTTAGATGGAATGCCTCACAGTCTGTAAATATTTTGGCTCTCCTTTTTTTTAGAAATAGGGTGACAAACAAGCGCACAGTCCAACAGACGGTAAGTGGATGCTGTGGCCCATAGACATCTACATTTATCCTCGATTAAGAATCAAAACGTAGATGTGTTGTCACCCCTGAGGACTAAGATGGAATGCCTCGTTTCCAGTAAAAATGGGTCTCCGGATCTCTACACTCACCATACGAAACACGGCAGTATTAAGCTGCTATTTTACGCTGGTATTCTGTGAAAGCGTGGTCTTTACCCCGTCAAGCCAACCCATTCGTGCTACAACCAAAATTTAGCTGCAGCGCGGCTCTACCAATCTCTCTAGTCTATACCCTATAGACTGGATTACAGTAGCACTACTTTTAAGCGGCAGGAATAAGTAAGATTGTGATACTCAGGCAGATAGGAAAGCCAACCACCCAGTAATGTAATGTATGTACTTCTTTATAGGAGAGGGGGCAAACGAACTTGCTTGATGGATGGTAAGTGACTACCGCCGCCCATGTACAACTGCAAACCCAGGGGAATCGCAGGTGCGTTGCCAGCCTTTTACAAAGGAGTGAGCTCTTTTGTTGAAGTCTCCTAAGGCTCAATTTACTCTGCTGCGGAACAGAATGGAAGTGAATTTTTGTAACGAAATTGTACGTAGTAAAATTAGTCTTATGTTAATTGTGTAACGCGCAAAATAGATATGAGCCAAAACAGAAGTTACGTGTCTTCCGGGGAATTCTCTAGGATTCCGGTAGCTACTGTCGGCGACGTCTGTGGAATTCGCGGAAAGTGGCGCGAAGGGCGTGGAATATAGACTAACTGTTCTACAGCCCCAAGGCGGCCGGGAATCCCCGAGAATTCCCCGGTAGACGCGCGACTTCCTTTTTGGCTCATATCTAGTTGCGCGTTACACAATTAACATAAATCTTATTACTATTACACTATTTAGCATACCTTGTCACAAAACAAATTTAGGCGCGCATTATCCCCTAGCCAGAATATGTAACGGATACAATGAAATTATGGCCAAGATACCGGACATAGACATTTTCAACGACTCTGCCCGATGCTTCAAAAAAGATTGACCAATTTCTTTTCACCCTCTCAGCACACACTCATTCCTTAGTTAGTTTTTTCTTAATATAAGTTATTTTGTATTCAGTACCATTATAATATAATAAGCTACACATTACGATAAATATTGTGTAAATCTGTAATTGGCAAACATATTTAACCATATACATCTGTTATCGTGTTGTTGTTAATGTTTTATGTGATTTGCT